ACATATATTGCACACATAAATTATGTACTTTTTTTTAATAGAAAAGAAATAATGGTGCTTCCATCTGCCGTAACGGTATTTGAAACACTAGTTGAAGTTTACAGAACGGGGATGAAGTTAGGTCAGTTAACCAATCGTGACGAATTCCTTAGGAATTTATCATGACAGTTTCCAGTAGGGACCGCGTGAAGGTTGACCTAATAAATAGCGTACATTGCTAACAATGGGTCTACTAGTCCCCATTACCTACTAACAATACAGTCTCCCTACATAAATTATATATCGTTTCTTATTAGCATACATTATTAAAGTACTCCTATACTAAGAACGTATAATATCTTTATTATTTATATATTTTTGATATTTTATAATATCCTAAATATGAACACTAACCCCATATAATTAGTAAAATTAAAATAAACAATTTCACTACATATCATAAAAACTGTAACAGTTTCCATGGTCGGTTTCGTTATGAAGTAATCGGCGGGAATGCATTAATGGTCGGTTGCAGACCGCGCCGTGTAATGTGCAATTTGCAAGCGGCCATCATGTGATCACGCGACGTGCCGTCGCCCCAGAGCCCCACGATAGCATTTGAATCATTAGACAAAAAATAAAAACAGATTTCATTTTCATTTAACTGACTGCTTTTGCTATTACCTCGTGTCCAAGTAAACACATTTGCTGCCCGCATCGTACGTATTATATACATTTATAATGTCCTCTCCACAAACAATGTTACTATTATGACATCTATTTTTTATTATTCAAATAAATACATAAATGTTTCATGTCCGTAGTAATAAATAAAAAATTATGTAGTAAAAAAAAATAGATAAACAGTATTTTAATTATTAATCATTGATGTATTATTGTAAAATTTATATTTAATATACCACCATTACATGTGCTAGTGGTTATAATAGATATCATACAAGGCTTTCGCCGTTTCTTCTTGTAACGCCAATTCATAAAACTACTCTTTACTGGGGATCATTTAAAATAGCGGCGTTAAAAACATGGAACGTTCTCCCACCATCTATGCGTGAAGTGAAAACAACATATACTTTCCGAAAGCATTTTAAAGAACATCTGCTACATTTTCAGAAAAGTAATTGATACTAACGATAAAGGATTCACAAGAATTCATTCGACTTTTTCCTTGGCTCAAACTATTTGCTGGTACCAGAGAGCAAGTGTTATGGATATTTTTATTTTAATACTACGATGCAGTTATTAGAATACATAAAATGCACCGTGGGCATCACTGTGGGTATTTTTTTTTTATAATTGTTTATTTTTTCTTTTCTCCATTACGCACATAATGTTCTACGATTATTATAATTTTTATTATTTATATACTTTTTCTCTTAGTTATTAATATTTTTATTTTAATTGTAATATATGTGCGTCCGTACTGTGGGCCCAACTGAAAATCAGCGCTTGAAAGTATGTTTCCAGCATTACGCCGAGTTGTGGTCCACAATGACCCTGTTTTTGAATGTGTAAATTATTCTTGTACTTCTCATTATGTTATTACTGTATAAAACGAGTTAATAAATTCTATTCTGTTCTATTCATTACCATAACCATTAACACATACTATATCTCTCTTATTTTAGAATTTAAAAAAAATTGAAATTTTTTAGCCTTCCTTCATTTATTATTAAAAAATATTAAATAATATTTACTTAGCATTGAAAACCGCGAATACCTTCCATAATACGGCTTATTATGTAACAATAAGGCGTATTCTTGTCTTCCCAATTTATAAAGACTACCTCCATTCTGGATCTATTCTACCGTATCAGTTGGAGGTACCTATTAATCAGTGTTTTAAAATATAGTTCCATTATTTTATTATCTCTGTAAACTGTACATTTAAGTATGAGAATAGAGTGCTTTACCGAGCTAACTACATAAGATCTTACCTACTTAGACTTGTATGTTGTACAATAGCCATTCATAATAGTAATTTATCTTTTAACCATTATTATTTATTAGTGGACCTCTGTACATTTTGTCGCCATTTTGTTATGTTAGCAATACAAATGCAATGGAGGTAGAGTTCTATTGAAACTGCACTCGTAACTTTTAACCTTTACTTTTGACATTTCACTCTGGTATAGTACGTTCATTATTTCGCCTAGTTTCTAGTAAATGAACCGCTTTTGTTCTTAGTGCTCTATTCAGCGGCGCACTTCTTGGGCGCTTTCTCTGAGTTTCGCAAACTTCCTGGTTCTGAACACATTTGCCATTTACCATACATATTCCGTTCCTAATAAAGACAAAACTAGATCGTGAACTCCGACGCAATTGTTACTATTGTTTCTTCTTACATAGCGATTAAATTTATAAGTCATTGCTACACTTACGATTATCACTGTACCTGATAATAATAATATATATGTAAGATATATTGAAGAAAATTAGTTTCTATCTCTGTCAATATACCGAGTGTGAAATGTTTTTTTTATAATAAAGTATTTAATGCAACATACAATATAAATATTATTTTTTCTACCTTGTTCTCAGGTTCAAACTACCTACTTATAACTTGTCTTTTTTATTTGTTAATTTTGTGAGTGTTGTAAAATAGAGATTGATAGCATAATTTTAATAATTATAATAATTTTAATTGATATTTTTACGTTTCTAATTATTAATATAGATTTATTAAACGACAATGAATTATATAAATGAAGAATTGGTGTGTTGTAATTGTCAATTATATCAGATTTTTGGTCATTACCTGTTTAACTATAAAGCAGGCGTTGAAAATGGGTGTGGTAATAACCAAACACCTATTATTATCAGGTTCTACATTAAGCGTAGACATGCTTCAGCGATTCTCGTTCGCCGTTCTGAAACTGTTTTCAGTTTTGAAATTACTATCTCAGTACATTTACAATAGAATCGATTTTGAAGTGATATTCTCCAAAACTATAAGTTAGCGACCATATTATAACGATATCATAATTCTATAGTTATATGAACTATATATACATGTATTAAAATCTTAGAAATCAAAGGGTATATTCAGTAATTGTAGATATTTTTCATCAAAATGTGAAAGAAATAATAAACAAATTAAATTAAAAAAATTATTTACCTAAGTAATATGTATAATATACTAACAGTATACGTACTTGATATATTTATACCAATTTAAAAAATAATATATTTTTATAACATAACTGTGGAGGGGAACCTGAGATATAAGTAAAGTTTATTATGAGTGGTAGCTATAAATAAAAGGGTCTTAGTTAATTGAACAATTAAACGGACTGATTATAATTACCGTAAAACGTCACTGAAATATAATGATATGTATTTGAAAAGTGTCATAAAACAGAGTCCCCAAAATAACTGTAACTGTATTCATTAATTCCGAGAAACAAATAAGTATAAAAAGATTTGGGTAAAATTCATAATATAATAGTTTTACTGAAATTAAGGTTTTATACTAGTCATAACAGTTGAAAATATTCCATTAGGGCTTATTTGCTACTTACAAGTTCACTTAAAAGTGGATCGATATCATCTCAACAAATTTACATATTTCTTCGCTCGGTCCCACATGATCTTATCGATTGGAAAGTATTGATGGAAATATAAAATTGAGAAACAAGGCAATTTAATTTTAATTTACGGCTGCCACGCAATGCTTGTCAAAGGCGGGACCAGAATCTTACCATGAAATATCTATCGAATGTCTCCTCTTTAATTTTGCACTTGTCACGTCAGCTGATATCTCCTAAGTTAATGTTCGAGTTCGAAATTTCGTAGGTGTCGGGTAGGTTCTGTGTAGGAGCGGAGGTGAGAGAGGTGGCGGGGGGCATAAGGGGAGGCATCAGGGAGACGAGCTCTCCCTCATTGATCGCACCGTGCGCAGCATCCCCGCGCCTGGACCGCACCGCGTCCCGCAGGCTTCGCCGAACACAACCACAATACTTGAACCACTAATCTCTAGATTTTGAATATCCATCATAACCGATGTATAGAATTGAGAGCGACTAGTTCAAGGCAAATTACACTTTCCAGTGTCATAATTTGTCAAGATTTTTTTAACTTCATTTCTCACCGTGATATTCTTAGTCGATAGATTGATTAACTCAGATTTATTTTATTTTACTACGCTATCTAACTTCTTACTTAAACAGAAATATTGATACTTAGTTATTTTACTATATCGAAGTGGTGTAAAGTCCAAATGAGTCGTATGATGTTGATATATGGACTTCCAAATAAAGTAGAAAATTGAATTCCAATTAAACTGTCAGAATTAAAATGTCGCTGTAATCTGATATTATTATGAATTTTCCTATAATTTAGTTAATAATAAATAAGGACGGATGATAAATGAAACACAATTACGTTTTCTCGTCTGTTCTCGTATGTTACATCGTTCGAATAATTAAGTAAATAATTAAAGATGATAATAGTGAACGGGTGCGGCAGCGGGCGCGGTGGTGCCGTGGTGCGACACCGAGCACGGGCCGCGTGCAGGGCTGCGAGGGAGACGACAAGGTCGACGAGAGGATCATGCAGCAGCAGCCCGGCGACGGTGTCGAGGACGCGCGGCGCGCGGCGGCGGGCGGCGCTTGAATGGGCGGCGGCGCGGCTGCGCGACCGCGGTGCCTCCGCCAGTCCGCACACCGGCGGCTCCGCTGCCCCACGGTCGGCCGCACTCCGCTGAACAACAATGCTCAAAAACACGCCGTAACTCGAGCAACATACCCGCGGCGCTGCCGGCGATGCTCGTGAATCGGACGGCACTCGTGGCCGTCGGCGAGCGGTCGTGAAGAAAGTTCGATTTATGAAAACCATTAAAGGATTGAATTTTAAACCGATCATATTCGATAGATCCGTATAGGCGGGAGTGCGGCGTAGGGAGGCGGGGGTCGGTGTCGCGGGGGTCGGGGCGGGTGATGGCGCGGCGCGGCGGGGCGGCGGCGGCGGCGGCGGCGGCGCGCGGCGCGGCGGCGTCGCGGCGCTGACATGGGGTGGCGGGCGCGCCGCTCGCTGTTGGCGGCGCCCGCGGGCCTGCTGCTGCTTCTGGGCCTGCTGTGGCCGAGGGGTAAGCGATAAGTCTACCATCACACTACAGTTACTGCGACACGAAAATAAGCAATCACAAGTTACTCCATAACAACTACTTAAACAGTCTGACTTTACCTAGATCTAAAACAGATTCTGTTTCTTGTAACTTTCAACTACTTTTAACTTTCACCTAGCAGAGACTGAATAGGTCTTTGCAGGTTTTATTTGTAGAAATTATGAGTATTTTGTAACTGTTAACAATTCCATTTTATAGATTAGAATATATTTTAATATAAAACTTAAACTTTTTTTTTCTAAGTTCTGATATCTATCTATTACCATGATATATATATATATATATATATATGTATATTCCTATTCTAGAGAGGGATATCTGTCTATATATCTACTTGATTTATGTTAGATATATACTAATAATTATTTTCAATTATGTTATTTTATTTACTCCTTATTGCACTAGAAGTGTATTACAAAAGAACATAAATTATTGTAATAAGCTACAATAGGCGGACAAAAGGGATTCTAGACACTTTTAGGTAGAGAAGAGAAGACAGAAGGTATTAGATGGCGCATGAATAAAATATCTGTATATTATTAGTTAAAGATATAAAAGAAGGTTTATTATATTGTACGTACGAATAATAAAGTTCAAAGTACATAATTATGCAACGCCCAGTTGCATTGAACGAGCTAAGTGAGACAAAGAACGACAGAATCAGAATAGTTGGCAATCGATTAGATTTTGTAAAATCTGTACCTAGTGTCAACATAAAAACGATTCAATATTGTATAACTTTCTAAATTACTTTTTATACGTTTGTGTACTGGTATTCTTAATTTTCTTCTCACTGGTTTTAAATTACGCCAATAGAATAAACATAATGAAAATAACTTTGTTTTCTGATAATGTAAATAAATTAAAAAAATACAATTCTATAGCTATGACAGATTGAGGATCTTCTATTGACTGAGATGTACTTAGCCACAAGCAAACATCAAAGAGTTTAAGAATGTCAGAATAAGCAGAAATTGCAGCACAATAGACTACTCCACTTGCCTAACACTGGCACTCTATCGATCAAGATACAAGTATACTTGAGACAGTTGGTAGGTATATATAACAGACAACGACAGAGCTGTTACAAAAACATTATGCATCTAATAGTATAGATCCAAAATTAAGAGTAATATCTGTGATAATAAATATGCATATATTCTCTTTATTAATACATGTACCTATAGATAATTATTTTTTATGCATACATAATTTTAAAATAATGAAAGACCTACTCTTATTTTATATGATATGAATCTTAATAAAAATTCGGGCTATTTTCCATTTATTTTAACAAAGGCAACTTTGAGTGTTTTTTAGAATTCGTAGTTTATAGACATATAGTAGAAATATCGTCTTTTAGTAAACTAAAAGACTAAAAAACTAGTTTACTAAAAGACGATATTTCTACGAATTCTAAAAAACAGATAATACATAAAATAAATCCAAATAGATATAGTGTATTCTTTGAAAATTTTTGTTTGACTGCATTGCAGCTTTCCAAGCAAAGTCGTTAAACCTATTTTTCTATACTAAATATAATTTTACCCATTAAGCACTACTATTTCTAAGGAAATGATTTGTACCTAGTGTTCTTGAATATACTTTATTTTGTGAATACATTTAATGAATACTGAACTAAATATACCAATGTAAAGCCAATTATTATTTAATGATGATGGCGACATTTACCCTACAGCACTCCCATAATTAGGAGTTATCAAAATTATACGTTACGCCAAATATTGGAATTTCCATATTATTTTTTACATAACAGTATGATATACTGACGGTTTATCTGCTGAAAAATAACAACCGTCTCAAATATTAAATTGTTCATACACACAGAAGTATGCGGCGGCTACCACGAGAAGCGGCTGCTGCATCACCTGCTGGACCACTACAACGTGCTAGAGCGGCCTGTTGTCAACGAGAGCGACCCGCTGCAGCTCTCCTTCGGCCTCACGCTCATGCAGATCATTGACGTGGTAAGTGGTGAACATTTATGTAAGCATTGTTTTTAGTATAATATCGAGTTCAGAGAAAGCAAAAATTTATCTAAAACCACACTAGAAGGACCAAGTTTAAAATAAATCTTAAAATCACTTTTAACATAGTTTGAGGTAATACACATAAACAAATATAGCAAGATTGGGAAACCTTAAGATATTTAAAAATAAATGAGAATGTAATGTGTGTAGATGGTGTTCTACACACTACATTCTCATTTATTATTGGTTGGTGAAACACTAATATTTTACTACATAATTAAGGAACATTCTATATCCGAATCTGAAGAAGTCATATTTCCTCACAACATTTATCTTACAAAACCGTTAAGACCGTACAAAAAGTATTATATTGTTGATTAAAAAGTGATATATTATTTAAATTTTTAGTGTGTAGTTTATTATAAGACATTTATAGTCGTAAATACATAAAAGTAAGGAAATCTCTAAGGAATGCATAAAATCAAAAATTTGTTCACAGGACGAGAAGAACCAGCTATTAATAACAAACATCTGGCTTAAACTAGTAAGTAAATATTATTAATTTTGTATGTCCTCCACATTAGTTTATCATAATCCCTTTGCATCCGATACAATTAGTAATATTATGAGTGTAGTTCCTAAGGATCACCTAGTTCATGATTTTATATTTGCAGAAAATTATTGTATTCAAACAATATATATAATTATACCTATCATATAATTTGTTATATGGTATGTACTTCTGGGAATTATAATTGTTCTCTCTTTAAATAGTAGTGTGTTTCAACTATTATACCCAATAACTACTCTCACAACACCAAAAGTAAAGGAGAAGACTGGGAGGATATGTACTTCTTTTGTAATCTACAATTAATTTAATTCTTTCATAAAGCCAGCGAATTTCAGGCTTTCAATTACAACTACAACGTCCAACATTCAAGATGTTTCTTTTTGCCGCATATAGATCGTTTAACATGTGGTCGGTAGATAAAAGTTATGCAGTAAGAAAGTATTTTAACATGAATTTGAGTTAGTCCGGCAAACTTTCATTGGAAAACCAAACTACTCACATATTAGATAAACATCGCAAAGACGGCTCTACTATTAGTAATTTTACATTTTGTTCAATTAATATCGTCCATTATCAAGGCGATAACGTTCCTCTCTAACAAATATTTGCTCTGAAAATTTGTCAAGGCGTAGTCACCGTTCGTAACAAAGTGAGTTACCGTCATAACTAATTGCCCGTCACTATAAAATCCAATTTAATTTTTCAAGAACATAAGTATAAATAAACACTTTGTTTATTTAATACAGCACATACATTATTAGCAAGTGTCGTCATCGGTAGTGGCATCTATACAATGTGATTTAAATTTCACTTGTAGGAATTTTTTTACTATTGAGTACCATAATTATTATTATATATAATAGAAATGAAACCTTGTTCCAATATTGTCTGAAGGAAATTGTTCAATTCTGAATATATCATAGTACCTACATAACTGTTGTTTTTCGCGCAGGAATGGAATGATATGAACTTGAGGTGGAACACTTCGGATTTCGGCGGAGTCAAAGATTTACGAGTACCACCTCACAGGTTATGGAAACCAGATGTTCTTATGTACAACAGGTAAATAAACATTTTTAAAATAGTTATATGTATTTTCTATTCAGAGTAAATTAGTAGGTTTTATTTAAATCATCACCTCTTGAAATGATGCTGTACGTAATATTATATGAATTACGAGATGCGCAGAGATATTATATACTTATTTCTTCAAACGTTATAAGAATTTTCATTTATTTATTTTTTTAATTTATTTATTGTTATACCTGAAATGGCATACCAGCTGACAGTCCACTTCATAATAAGTAATCACGGCTATGAACATGAACAGCATCACGGCATCACATTATTATATGACGCCAGTACTACCACTCATGTATTACAATTACGGCGGACTATGATGTCGTGTCCCTATAAAAATCTAGCCCAAGTCATGAGTATGCCCTTATACCCTGCAACTTCATTAATATTTACAAAATATTCATTTGCTTTAATACTATATAAACGTGTTTAGTTATTTAGCGTTATATAACGTTAATCGAATGTTATGATTAAAGCGCGGATGAAGGATTCGACAGCACATATCCGACGAACGTGGTGGTACGGAACAACGGCTCGTGTCTGTATGTGCCGCCAGGCATTTTCAAAAGCACTTGCAAGATCGACATCACCTGGTTTCCATTTGATGACCAACGATGCGAAATGAAGTTTGGCAGTTGGACTTATGACGGATATCAAGTAATCAATTCCATTTATCAAATTTATATTATATATATCTTTACGCTAATACTCTTACAGGGTTGGCAGAGAAAATCAATAAGTATGTATAGTTTCTTACTAACTTCAATGATTATATAACTGTTTATTTTTTTTAATAGTTGGATCTTCAATTACAAGATGAAGGAGGTGGAGATATAAGCAGTTTTGTTACAAATGGCGAATGGGAACTCATAGGTTAGTATAACTTTTACTTATATTAATAATCCAGATTATAAAATAATTGAAATTTTATATCTATTTAATATATAGTATATTGTAAGCTAAAATATTAAAAGCATGATGTATTAGGTCAATAAATCAAATATGTCAATGAAAAAAAGAGGAATATCGTTTACATATTTTATTTGTAAATCTTTTTTACAAAAATATTGGGCCGATTTTATTGTTTATGACGCCATGAAATAAATATTATAGATTTGTTATTTATATTATTAATAAAATAAATTTCTTATAGCGGACATTGATATATAAAAGAACATTGGTAATCGAAAATATTTTTCTAATATTTTTTACTAATCATGATAAGGTATAATGAGTAATCTCATTGTTTTAATAGGTGTACCAGGCAAACGCAACGAAATATACTATAATTGCTGCCCGGAACCATATATAGATATCACATTCGCAGTGGTGATCCGCCGCAAAACACTCTACTATTTCTTCAATCTGATTGTACCATGTGTCCTCATTGCCTCTATGGCTCTACTTGGTTTCACATTACCACCAGACTCCGGCGAAAAATTGTCTTTAGGTTAGTGACATATATTGTATACTTATTTAACAAATTAACATTTTTAATTACATGACATCAAAAAAAAATATTTCTCAATAATTCAGTGATAATTGTACAATTAATTAGTTCGCCACGAATGCAGCTTAAATTATAAACAATATGACATTTATTTATTTAAATTCAGGTGTTACAATTTTATTGTCACTGACGGTGTTCCTGAACATGGTAGCTGAGACAATGCCGGCGACCTCTGATGCAGTGCCTCTACTGGGCACGTATTTTAACTGCATCATGTTTATGGTGGCATCTTCTGTCGTCTCTACTATCCTTATTCTCAATTACCACCACCGACATGCAGATACACATGAAATGAGCGACTGGGTTGGTATTTACAATATTTTATTTTATTGCAAACTCAACTTATATAAATACGAACAGTATTTTTGAAAATACATTACAAAAATCTGAAGTTAAAGTTTTATATATCTTAATCATGGATTTTAACGCTGGTTAAAATCTTTGCAACAATAATTAAGAATATAATGAATTACCTCCAGATAAGTAACTATCACATTTAAGATAACTATTTTTATTACTCACGTCCATAGATTCGCTGTGTATTCCTGTATTGGTTGCCATGGATCCTACGCATGTCCCGGCCGGGCTCGGCAGCGACGCCACCACCGGCGCGAGCGCCTCCTCCGCCAGATTTAGAGTTGCGCGAGCGCTCTTCTAAGTCGCTGCTAGCAAATGTTCTCGACATCGACGACGACTTCCGGCACGCGCACGCGCAGCAGCCTCCCTGCTGCCGATACTACAGGTCCCTCGACGATCTACACGAACACTACTCGCCGTAAATAGCACGGTTAACGTACTTTAACCCCGCCTTGAATGGTCCGCAGTAAACCCGACCCTAACAGCTTTCATAACAATAGTTGATAAAATTCATTTTCATTTTGTTATCATCAAAAGCTTCTTGGGTCTTGGGTCTATTAGAATCATATCTCTATTCAGCATAATTCCCGTAGTCTCCTTCGTTCCACAGCTCAGTAGATAGAATATAAATGTGAATGGCTGCTACAGAGCCTTATTTATTATAGGGGGGGCGAAGAAAATGGCGCTGGATTGGCTGCACATAGTTGCTTTGGTGTCGACTACGAGCTTTCGCTGATACTCAAAGAGCTTCGAGTCATCACAGATCAGGCAATTATATCATTCTGTTACAATATTCTTGCAATATAAAACAATGGCCTAACGACATTAAATTACAAACTTAAAGTCGCTTAAGTACAACATTGATCAAATTATTACCTTCCAGATGCGCAAAGATGACGAAGATGCGGATATTTCGCGCGACTGGAAGTTCGCCGCCATGGTCGTGGACAGACTGTGCCTTATTATCTTTACCCTGTTCACAATCATCGCCACGCTAGCCGTGCTGCTGTCCGCGCCCCACATCATGGTGTCGTAGCGACCCGCCCGCTTGCGGCTGCGCATGCGTAACGTACTGTGATACCAGGAATACTGTTAAGTTGTGATGTGCAATGTGGCGCGGGCGCTGACGCCGCGGCGTCGAAGTTGCCGCCGCCTGCCTCGCTGCCCGCGCCCCCCTCTAGATATAAGTTCTCAAACTGCCAATATCCACGTTTAACATTCTGCCTTTAGGAAATCTCTTCTCTTATCGTCTGACTTATTCCACTCAATACTTCGCTATTCCTTTCAAATAAAATTATGAGAGGAAAGGTCATCGTTAAACTTAAGTAACGACAAAGTACCATCAGTATTACAACTAACATGAAGTCAGTTGGCACTATAATCAGTTGTATTCCGTGTCCAACGGCTACTATGTAAAGAATTGGCGGGAATTCCGAAAATGCTTTAAGAGATCATATTAGAGTATTCGCTAAAAGGTCGCTATCTAACTCTACGGCAGGAACTGCAAATTTTAGCACAAAAACGTCTTCCTTCATACCATTGAACAACCTGAATGCATAAAAAAATTAACTTTGTTAAAACTTGTTTGATTCTTAAAATCTATTGTACAGTTTAGGGTTTGGGCGGTAATGCAAAGGCCCTTTATTTCCTTCTTATTCGATTCCGTGAATCGTGGTTATGATCCCTAAGTTTATTTTCGGATGTATTGTGTCAGTAGCTAGTATAGAACTTTACAAACAATGTTGATTCAATTGGTACGGTTGTGATATGTCTCGTTGTGAACGGGTCGATATTGTTATAAATGGTAAAATATCCATGGCATATAGCTATAGCATAAAACGTTCGTTAAAAGTTATAGTTAAACAAAGTATTATTTTAATAAAGTCATACCTGAATTTTCGGATCGACTTATACAAAATAATTAAACAAATTACTTAAAAATATTCACGTTTATACTTCTATCCATACAATTACAGTTATGCAGTGATAATGTTAGCTCTAATTCAATTTTTCTTCCTATCAAAATCTTGTTTGTGGCTAAAATCTTACTTTGAGGTATACGCATGTAAGATTTAATTCACATACATTTTTTCAGAATGTACTCAAATATTACATACACTTTCATTTCATTATTCTATTATAATGAGAAAGCAATCACATATTATGCTGAAAGTACAGATATGAATGTTGTTGACAATTCTCAGTTAACGAGCTCGTAATGCCATCTGAACTGCTTTCACTCGTTTGTGATTCGATTGACCAGACCTGTCACATCCACATAACGCAAACCTAATGATTGTCTAATTATAAATCTGTACGAAAAATTATGATTATTTTTAGAAAACATTGTAAATCTCTTAAGAGGAAAACGTCAAATCGACCGAGTGGTTGCGTTGATACTCAAACGACAGCGGTATCCACGCAAAGCTCTTACCATGTTTTCCTCCTCTGAGATAATATTATCAATAATTGTAGACGGTCCTTTGGAAGTTGCGGAGCGACTATAATTATGCTTAAATGTTTTCAATAAATTTGATTTTTTATTGTTGTTTAATATGTCTCATCAACCACTCGATAATGGTTGTGCGACGACTCATGACCCGGACAAAGGACATCGCGCTCCGTGTGAACCTGCATGCAGTACTGCATTTTGTACCGCACCTTCTGTTACGGGTGACGCCATGATGCGCCACGTCTTTTTGTCAGCATCGGGACAACTTGCTGTCTCCGAAATTTGTTCAATTGTTAAGGTTAATACTCTGAATTGCATTTTGTTTATTAAATATAAACGAATGAATATTGTATTTTATTTATTTTAACACATTACTTCTTACAAAACTTAAAGTTTAAATAGGTACTGAAATCTAAAAACATAGTAGAAGTGTATAATACAACTACTAAAAACTCTCCTACTCATTACAGCTAATAAATTATAATCTGCATTAGGAAGTATTTACTAAAATTTATACAATATACTAATTACTAAAATGGTCTACATTAGAATTACATTTAAAGAATAGAGTTTCTAGTCAAAATTATTACGTCTCTAATAGATATTACTATCAAAAGTTTAAATCGAAGACCAAGACCAAGACAACACAAAACAGGTGTCAAACTCATAATCTTTGCTCACTTTCTCTATATATATATATAACTAGTGTTGTAGCTAAGTATCAAATGAAATATACTGATTGAGGGAGGAATATATCAATGCTTCTGGAAGTACAGAAAAGCGTTTTTATTAAAGAATATCATTAAAACACACAATTAAACATTTTATACCGATCAAAAATAATAGAAAGGGCCAGGCAGGTGGTCATTGAAATCATATCATATTTACGAATACAGCGAACAAATAAAATTACAATTACGAGTGTATCTAAAATGTAAGAAGTTATCGATACTTATACAATTTCACAGTCAAGTGGAACGACATTTAGACTGTCAACGTTTGAGTGAGACCTTGACCTAAATTTATATATATATATGTGCTTAGTTTCCTGGAACCGTTGCCGAGTGCCTGTCGACAATCGATGCTATCCCATGGGATAACTGCACATGCGCAATGCCTACGAGAATACACTCCTTGAACAAATAAGACTTTATAAAGATAATAATGGAAAACTGTAATTTATTTCTATATATAATTTATTTCATATGTTAATTTCTCTCTATAATGAATATAATTATTTTCCTTATTACCTGAATAACTCACTGAATTATAAGTCGATTATGAGCATTAAAAAAATTACATACATACTATCTAAATACAAACTACCATATAACAAAGCTAATACCATTAAAATGTATATAATAATTTTGATACTAAATAATATCTTTATAACAACAAAAAAATAATCCTAATCTTGTAGTAATAACATTAAAATTTAAAATATATAAGAGAACTTTTGATAGTAGGTACTTTTATAAAATCAAACTCAGTATATATGAAGCTATAAAAACAATCAGAGTAGAAATAAGGCTTGGGCGGATAGATAAGGCATGCAAGAAAGTGCAGGGCGCGGAATGCAATACGCGGGGAAAGCGGCAGGGCGGACTGGTGCGTACGGCAGTGCGCGCCGCCATGAGGGCTGGGTCGCGCGTGTGCCTCCTAGCAGCAGGAATACTTACCCTTCTATATTCAGGTACTTAATCACTAAAACTTCCATCAATCTTATATGAATTTATCGCTTCATAATAGTAATCAGTAAATTTTCCCAAAAATAACAATCAACTCAAATTTACTTACCAAAACCAAAGTTAATAAAAGTTATTTAGGAATTTACATATCGAATGCTCAAAATTAATGTAAATTCAATTAATGTTGGATAAAATATCAATCAATTGAATTTCTTAAATATCTCTAAAATATACATTGTTTATAATAAATACGTACCCAATTTATCTTAAAACTTATGTATTACGTGTATTATATCGACAACTATTATAATATTACGTCCTTGATTTTATTATTCACCAATATTAAATATTCATCAAATGGAATTAATTTTAAGAATCGCAAGAGATATCGGTAATTCAATATAAGAGTATATCATTTTATCTCGATAGGTACGCTGCTTATTGATCTGTCGTCGCAGCATCGCGAGTCACATCTAACACGAAATTACAATACTTTACAAAGTGTGTTGTAGGTGTAATGTAGTTCATTACACCTACAACTAAATTCTGAATTCTAAATTCTGAATACAATATTGTTATACAATATTGTATTCAGAATTTAGATTATGTTCTTCGCCACAAATTAATATCCTTTCGCTGTTTGCAATTTCTTGTTTCATTGACTTTCTAGATACTAGATGTGCAATGAAAAATAATAATTTTATTATCTAGTATTTTAGATGTTCCACAATTTATACAATGTGTTAATGGTTAAATAAAAAAAAATGTTTTCAGGAATTTGGAGATGCCTCTATTTTTACATTTATTTTCAATTTAATACTGGCTATAAAAGGCGCCTTCCGCCTGGATGCTGGTCTATGTTAGATGATGATAAGTACTTCATTTATCCATTACAACCAAAATAGGAAAGAAATATACAATAAATCCAGTCTTTGCTTTGTATAGCTATAGTGTGTGTAGTGTAGCTGACATTCTCATAAATTACAATACAAATATTACTTATCTTTGTACTAAAATTCACATGTTTCAATATTTCAGGATGGTGTTCAGAGGACGAAGAGCGGCTTGTCCGAGATCTGTTCCGCGGTTACAACAAACTTATTCGGCCTGTACAAAACATGACACAGAAAGTCGATGTTCGTTTTGGACTTGCTTTCGTCCAACTTATCAATGTTGTGAGTAATCAAAATTAATTATCACCTAAATCTTAGTCATACCACTTGAGTTACATATATAGCCATACTAGCTGTACCCGCGACTTCGTCCAAAATAGTGACCTTGAGCAATTAGTAAAAAATATATATTAATAATCTAACCCAATAAAAAAGTTTCATCGTTCTAGCTTCAAAAATGAAATTTCCATACATTTCCATACAATTCAATCAACAGCCAAAAACTAAGTTTCAAACTACTATCTTTAAAATGAAGATACTTCCATACATACCATACATACATTACATCTCCCCTTTCAACCCCTTATAACCCTTTTTCTTGTTTTTTTTAATGCTACTTATATTAGTGTCATCATGTACCCATGATAAGATGTCGCTATACTGTAACCATTTATGGCTGAGTCCTGTGGCGGTAGGTACTGATATTTTCTCAACAGCCTAAATTATGGGTTGCAAGTTTCTAGCTTTAAAAAATGACAATACATGCATACAACATTTTAACTCCCCTTTTGACCCTTACAACCCATTTTCGTTAATTATATTTAATCAATACGCAAAAAAATAAGATTGAAGAAACTTTTAAAAAATCCTCTTTCAGTCTCTTATAACCCTTTTTAGCATTAAAAAGTAACCTATGTCCTATCTCAAGATCTAGACTTTAAATTTCATTTAAATCAGTTCAGAAGTTTTGGCTTTTAAGACAGACAGACAGAGTCACTTTCACTTTCATAATATTAGTAAGGTATTTATTAAATAAACTGACCCAAAAAAGCGTAAGAAAAAGCTTAATCGTTCTAGCTTCAAATATGACGAATTTCCATAAAAACTTTTATCTGCTATTTTATTTTACCCCTTGAATGGTGACAATGTGATATTTACAAATTTAAATGTCATATTTATTTATATTTAATAAACAGTTTAAACATTTCTTTAAATTCTTTTGAAAATTGGTGGTCCAGTTGGCCAATAACATAATAAAATTTTGTTAAATCAAAATAATAGATGTGATATTCTAAATCTATCCCTCTACTTGCGCGAACCATATCTCTGACTATACTGGCCAGAATGGAGAAACGCGTATTCCGAACCTGAATAGCTCGGATGGAACGGTAGATGTTCTTTCTTCCAAGGAAATGTATTCATATGTATTGACAACATTTTTAATATTATATGTTGTTTTATTCTTCAAAAATATTAATAATATGTTCTTACGCTCTTGTCCAAGAGCAGCGTCATCAGTTATACATAAATATAATCCTGGTATAGCCTGGATTATATTTATGTATTTATAAAATAAAATTGCAGAGCAAACGTTTATTCATTTAAATTCATAAAGAGACAACGGATTGACAATAATCAGTTGCGCGCGCAACAGAGCGCATGCGCGCTGCTTATACAAATGACATATATGTTTATTTATGACATATGAGCGTTAATAAGTCGCATATCTAGTACAATACTGGTGTAATTCAGAAATTAAAAATTTTTGAAAATAGACTTAATAACACAATTATAAAGTAGACTTTCCAAAATATCTAATTTTTTAGTTAAGCCATTATTATAATAAGTGTGTATTCAACCGCATAAAGATAACCTTGCATTACCATTTTCAACCCCTTACAACCCTTTTTTCGCATTAAAAAGTAGCCTATGTCCTTCCTCGGCGTCTAGACTATATGGGTACCAAATTTCATTTAAATCAGTTCAGTAGTTTTGGCGTGAAAGCGAGACAGACAGACAGACAGACAGACAGACAGACAGACAGAGTTACTTTCGCATTTATAATATTAGTAAGGAAGTAAGGATTATGATGTCCATGGTCCAATCATGTATAGGTACATGCAAGCTTACCTTTTCATCAGGTGGGTCATCGTATCTACGATAATTTCCTGATAATACCACTCTTCGCTACTTATTGCAATTAACCTATCTACGAACATATTAATCACATATCTAATTTTAAACAGAACGAGAAGAACCAAATCATGAAATCTAATGTATGGCTACGTTTAGTATGGATGGATTATCAGTTAATGTGGGATGAAGCAGACTATGGCGGCATTGGCGTTCTTCGGTTACCCCCCGACAAAGTGTGGAAACCAGATATTGTACTCTTCAACAAGTCAGTATAGTACTTTCAAAGTATTTTCTTTTTGTATTGTATTTATAGAAGTTACATCTTATGTAAGCAATTACAATTTTACAGTGCTGATGGAAATTACGAGGTGCGATATAAATCTAACGTTCTGATATATCCAAATGGTGAAGTACTTTGGGTTCCTCCAGCTATATATCAGGTATATTTGAGTACTAAAATGTATGCTACAGAACATACAAATTGTGATATGGATTAATTTATATTTCTTTTTCAGAGTTCCTGCACTATTGATGTTACTTATTTTCCCTTCGATCAACAAACATGTATTATGAAATTTGGATCTTGGACATTCAACGGAGATCAAGTATCGCTAGCTTTATATAATAACAAAAATTTCGTTGACCTCTCTGATTACTGGAAGTCTGGAACATGGGATATTATCGAAGTACCAGCGTATTTGAATATTTATGAGGGAGACCACCCCACGGAGACCGATATCACATTTTACATAATAATAAGACGGAAAACCTTGTTCTATACAGTTAACTTGATCCTTCCTACAGTGTTGATCTCGTTTCTATGCGTACTGGTATTTTATTTACCCGCCGAAGCTGGTGAAAAGGCAAGCATAACCATAATAATATAATTTTAAAAACTTAACTAACAAGGTCCCTGGTGAAAATAATACGTGTCATGTGTAATTTCTTTGGTTTTAATTAATCCAGTATTATATTAGGTTTGCGATGAAAAAAGATTAATTCAATTCGCATCCAAATTGGTTTATTTCGAAGTACCTACTATTTTACAGCATAATAAATTTCAATTATGATAAGAATAGAATGCAATATGACACGTACAATTTGAATCGTATTTTTTCTTAACCTATAAGTAATATTTGTACAATCTCATTTGCAGGTTACATTAGGTATAAGCATTTTGCTGTCACTGGTTGTGTTCTTGTTATTGGTTTCAAAGATTCTTCCGCCGACTTCTTTGGTGTTGCCGCTTATTGCCAAATATCTTCTTTTTACATTCATTATGAACACAGTCAGTATTCTTGTCACTGTTATCATTATTAACTGGAATTTCCGAGGACCAAGAACGCACAGGTAAATTGTAATTAAAAGTAATTATTATACATTTATACAGTATATAATATACAGTTAAATAAATATTGATACTGTATCATTTAACCTTGATGACTAATTGATTAATTAATAGTTAAAAGCGGTTTAGCTGTTATTCCAGTTGCTATGAAAAACAATGTCCATTTTATATCCTACTGTCTAAATAATACTTGTATTCCTAAAATCGTATTCATTAGTTCAATGCAATATTTTAATATTGTAGATACTTATAACAATTGTGAAACCAAGGATGATTTCACTATTGTTGGCTGCACCAAACTCAATACCTATATTTATATTTATGTTCCCTAGAATGCCCTTATGGATCCGGAGTGTCTTCCTACACTACCTACCGGCTGCGTTACTGATGCGGCGACCTCGTAAAACCCGTTTGCGATGGATGATGGAAATGCCCGGGATGGGCGCTCCTCCTCATGCTGCTGCTCCTCACGACTTGCCTAAGCATATAAGGTTTCCTTCACTAATTTAAAATCATATCATAATATACTTAAGTAATAATAAATAATAATATAACATCACAATTAATATCCCAGATCGCATAGTTATATAGGAATTAGCAATTGTCGACGGCATAACGTAACACTTGACATTTCGCTGTGTTTTTTGTGTGACATTTTGAGCTGAGACCACGAAATAAATTTGTTTACAGCGCTATAGGAGCTAAACAAAGTAAAATGGAAGCAATGGAATTATCAGACCTACATCATCCAAATTGTAAGATAAATCGCGCGGCAGGCGGTGGTGGTGAAGTGGGTGCTCTAAGTGGGCTTGGCGCTTTGGGTGGTCTTGGTCTCGGAGGCGAGAGACGAGAGTCGGAAAGTTCAGATTCGCTATTATTATCACCTGAAGCTGCCAAAGCTACGGAAGCAGTTGAATTTATTGCTGAGCATTTGCGCAACGAAGATTTGTACATTCAGGTAGATTATTTGATTATAATAAAAATATAAATTATACTTTTATATGATGTCCAAATTCTAATAGGTAATATACATTAAGCATTATTGAAATGTATCAAGATTATGTAAAAGACGATTTGAAAGTCTCATAGCTGACTTTGAATTGTAACAGCTGTGATAGATTCCATTGTGTTACACAATATTGAGTAGAATTAAATTTATAAAGCTCATCTGATCATATCGATATTAGCACTCGGCTAATGTGTCTAGATCAGATATATAGACTCACTTAAATAAATAATGTAGAGATTCTATTATCATAGATATTCTGTAGAAGCCCCGTATGTCATGAAGCTAAGTGGTATAAAAAAAATGTCATGAAGCGATAAATTATGTAACTTCTCCATAAAATCCACGGCTCTATAAAGTTCTTCAAATGTAATATTTAACTTAATAAGTTAGTTTTATTTTTATTCAACAGACTCGTGAGGACTGGAAATATGTAGCGATGGTGATTGACAGATTACAACTGTACATCTTTTTCATTGTAACTACTGCCGGTACCGTCGGTATTTTGATGGACGCGCCGCATATCTTCGAATATGTAGACCAAGATCGGATAATAGAAATATATCGAGGAAAATAGATCTTAATATTAAAATATCTTCCAATTTAGAAAAATTCATCTCACTTGTAGATATAGGCTTCCAGTGCAATTTTAATCTTCCAAACAATGTCTTACTTAAGTTACATGTTTGTTATGTGTACGTACCTACATAGCTTATACCTGTTAAAGACTTAATTAATTAAAATATACAATGTAGGTCAAATTTCAAATTGTTATGATAAATGAATATCATCTCATATTTGATGAAGACAATTTAAATAAGGTTACTCAAGACAATTTAAAAGAAAAGTATATTGTGTTGGTTTATTATACACCTAGTATACATCGAATTTGTTTTGGCAAATATGTATTACAATAATGTTTCTAATGGCTATTTTAATTAGATTAATATATGCACTCATTACTATAATTAACTATAAGTCTAGTATTAGTAAAGTAGCTTCAATTGGAAGTATTAATAAAATGGCTGTGTTCGGATCTTAAAAAGCAACAATAGGGACAGATAATTTTACATAAGTTTGTATTTTTATGACCCTGTAATTGTAATACTACTAGAATTAATAAATAAGTAGGTACCTATTAATCTTAAAATGTTAAGCTTATTTGAAATAATATTATTCCATTAAATACTTGTATTTATTATGGGTATTTCATTTACATTAGCATTATTGACAATACATACTAATAATACTACTTATCAACCAATTCAAGACACGACGCAATGAATTAAAACAAACATCGTTCTCTCCTTATCTACTATACAAATCAAGAAAATGTCAACTGCTAATAATAATATTGCACATCTATCTTTATAGTATAATATATCTGTAGATACAATAAAAATTTAACTGGCCACTTCCTGTATCATGTCTGTTCATCTTCCATGAGATGAAAAAGCTGTTATTATGACACTTGTTACTATGAATGGCTCGGTTCACGTACCACCGACTATGCGGGGAGATCTGTTCATGGCTTTGCTTTGGCGTATGGTTTGACGCAACTGGTATCCTCGCCTACGCGAATTCCTGATGTTGTTGACCATATACCTTCACTATTGGACCTTCTGCTGACTTCTCATCCGGACGGATATCAGATCTCTGTGGAAGCCCCATTGGGATCCTCTGATCATTTTCTGATACGGAGTGAAGTGCCTCACACGCGTCCTTCTTTGCCGCGATCTACTGGTCGACGTCGTGTTTAGCATTTTAAGTCGGCAGATTGGGATGAGATGCGAAGTTTTTTTGCATCTTACCCATGGGGGCGAGTTTGCTTCACACTGGACGATCCTGATGTAATAGCTGAATCTGTCACCGATGTAGTACTTCAGGGAATGGAGATGTTTATTCCAAATTCCCAGTTACCTGTCGGTGGTAGATCTCAGTCCTGGTATGGCGGATCCTGTAGATCGGCGTCTCGCCATAAGCAGGAATGCTTCCGTGCCTGGATTGCAGCTGTGGAATCAAGTGATCCAGATACCAGTGCCCATAAAAGGAAGTATAACTCCGCTTCCATGTCCTTCAAAAGAGTTATAGCCACAGCAAAGTCGGAGCACACAGCAGAATTGGTAAGAGACTGAACAGTCTTCCATCTAGATCCCAGGCTTTTTGGTCTCTTGCCAGAACTGTTCAGGGAAATTTCTGTCAGCCATCTTTTCTACTGCGCAGAGAGGATAACTCGTTGGCCCAACATGCTAAAGAGAAGGCCGATCTCCTTGGATCTCTTTTTGCATCCAACTCGACACTGGACGATAGGGAGCAATCACCGCCGGTCATCTCGCGGTGTGAGACTTTTATACCAGAGGTAAAATTTATCCAAAAGCTAGTACGTAAGTCTCTTTTCTCTCTAGATATCCACAAGTCGAGTGGGCCTAACGGTATACCTGCTATTGTGCTCAGGACGTGTGCGTCTTACGTCTAAGTTGGCTCTGGTACTAACGAGTCTTTTCCGGTACTGTTACTCTACAGGTGTAGTCCCGAAACTTTGGAAGACGGCTTTGGTTCATCCGATCCCTAAGAAGGGAGATCGCTCAGATTCAGCTAACTATAGGCCCATAGCCATCACCTTGTTATTCTCAAAGACCATGGAGTCGATTGTTTACTGTCAACTCCTACGATACCTAGAAGTGAACCAATTGATTTCTGATCGTCAGTATGGCTTTCGCCAGGGTCGGTCAGCTGGTGATCTTCTAGTGTATTTGACACATCGATGGGCAGAGGCTATTGAGAATAAGGGGGAGGCCCTATCTGTTAGTCTGGATATTGCGAAGGCCTTTAATCAGGTTTGGCACAAAGATCTTCTTTCAAAGCTACCATCCTTCGGGCTGCCTGCGAAGTTATGCAAATGGGTCGCCAGCTTTCTCGCTGACCGGAGCATCAAGATGGTCGTCGATGGTGCTTGCTCCGACTCACACTTTGTGAATGCTGGTGTTCCAAAAGGCTGTGCTATCTCCGACTTTGTTCCTTCTGCATATCAATGACATGTTACAAATCAATAACATTCATTGCAATGCATCTCTCATCTGCAATCATTGGATGACAGTACCGGAGATGCCTTGTACAGCGGCCATGCTAATATGTCGCAGGCAAAAGTTATAGAGTACCGGAACAAACTTGTGTCTGAAATCGAAAGTTCACTCTATCAAGTTTCGGTTTGGGGTCAGGAAAATTGTGTTCAATTCAATCCCAAGAAGACACAAGTTTGCGCGTTTACCGCTAAAAAGAATCCTAAAATTTATCGTATCTCCTCAGTTTCAAGACACTCTCCTTGATGTGAAGCCAAATCTCGAGATCCTTGGCGTTGATATATCCTGTGACGTTCAGTTTTGCGGTCATTTGGAGGACAAGGCTAAAATAGCCTCAAAAAAGCTTGGTGTGCTCAGTAGACTGAGACGGTATTTCACGGCGACCCATCGCTCGCATACAAGGCTCAGATCCGGCTGCATATGGAATACTATTCTCATCTCTGGGTGGGAGTACCACAATACCAGCTACTTCCATTTGACCGCATTCAGAACCGAGCAGCCAGAATCATTGGTAATCAACGTCTATGTGACAGACTCGACCCATTGGCTTTGCGGCGAGATATTGCATCTCTGTGCATTTTCTACCGCATATATCACGGAGAGTGTTCTGAGGAATTGTTCGGATTAATACCAGCTGCTGAGTTTCACCCCCGTACCACCCGCCAGACAGACAAAAATTGTAAAAAATATTTTTTGGTATATGTACCGTATTTATATCCATGTAGTAAAAAATTATTATTCCATTGTTTCAAACAGACACTCCAATTTTATTTATATGTAATAGATATACATATGTTTCTGTACGCATAATATATAAATATTCATGTAGGTGTACTTGAAATTGTCTCATGCAAGTTGGATTTTTAAACATCCGGACTGGAAAGTCAAATTTGTTTATCATAATTGATAGATAATAGATATAGATAGATAGATGGTAACATTATAGAAATGTAACGATCAACTGGACCAGAGTGCTTTACTGAGCACTAGTCCAGGACGCTGCTAATATATTTTCAGACTATAAAACAATAATTTTATTTATGTTATAGAATAAAAAGTCACTCAATATATCATGGTTGTACAAAGGACGACCCCAAAAATTAAACAAATATTTTGCACTAGTAAGACACAATCTTAATTTGTGTATTAGGAAGATAAAATTTATCTTCATTAAAGTAAAGTGTGTAATTAACAAGTACATGTGAGTAAACATGAAGGTATTAACTCGAACTGAACAATGTGTTTCAGATTTATTTGTCCTCTTGACATAAATCAACATAGTTCTATTGATGATAGCGCTCCATATTAAAGTTAGTACTTCATGTTTTATGATGCTGTATCTATTATAACTCGGCCAACTGAGAATAATTAGTAGTTATGTACGTGGTATATTGGTACTATAAAAGCTACAAATACAGACGAGTACAATATAATGAATAGGTATACATAAACATCTATTATAGATTCTCTTCTTGGGAAAAACCGTTCCACTGTGTATGCAGCTGTCTGTTACTATTACAGTTTAGGTATCTACCTACCTATCATGTACAATTTCATTGCTGATAGTTTTATTAAAAATAATGAATAGGTTTACATCTATTAGAAATATTTTTTCAGCAACAAAAAAGGAACAGACATTGTTTCTATTCTGAATACAAAGGACAACAAACTTCCCGTTCCTTTTCCTAGCTTTAAGTAATCTATTTTTTGCGTATATATATTCACAGGATGATAAAAACGGCATTAATTTATAAGTTATATGAATATTCATGTCCTTTATTTTAAACATAGGATAATGTTTCCAATTTTATTCCTCCTAAGGGAATATTGCGTGTGTGGCGAATCTACTATCATCGTGCGGCAACACCGTTGCCTAGTTACGATGGGGCAAGAAGAATAACAAGCTTGTCATTCGAGACCGAATCGCCTTTCTTGTATATATATTCATTGTAAATATTTTGTTAATATACATAATCTAAATAGCAATCATTGGACTTATCACTTCATCTCCTTTCCTGCTGCTGCTACATTACAAACACAAACATAAATAATAGCGGTAACAATATAGACGCTAAACGTGTAATACAAAATGTACCTAGTATTAAGCGTGCGCCCAAATTAAATATAACACAAATTACAAACAAAAGATCCTGATATCAAATCAGGCCGACACTAAACACAACTTGTCTGTCAAATTATATTCCTGGTGAACACTCCGATGAAGGAAACACCGATAACAAATCAAACAATAATCCGAGAGACGAAGGTACGTTGACACTTTGGCATGTGTTGCGTTCTTTATATTGTCGTTATTGACAATACCTCTAACTATCACATTTCCTAAAACAGTCGTAACAAAGAAACATAAAAACACCTATCAATTTTTTATATTTGTTTTAGCATTTTGATTTAGATTATTTAACATTTTTTCTATATTTGGTCAAGGTCACTATAATACGCGGACGAAATCGCGGGCGCAGCTAGTATAGAATATACTAATAACAGGAGGTCATAATTAAAAATACAATTAACTACTACGTTAAGATTACTAACAATGAACTATTTTGTTACCGAGGTTGTTTGTTGCCACCAAGTAGTTATATTAGCAGTGTTCCTATTTGAAAGTTGATAACACCTTAGTCCTTAAAAGTGACATTATATGAGCATTGGAATATACCCAAAATGCATAATGACGTGATGTTTGGAGTGTTGTACATATATAACAGACGGTTATATTTTTTGAGAATATTAAAGTTGTATCTACATACCTAATTATAACAAGGGAAAACATACGCAATAAAATTGTAATATTGTGTGTAATAATAGCAATAATATTACATAAAAAATATACTTATATACCTGTGTATACAAAAAAAATGTTGTTCGCAAAAAAAAAACCGATTAAGGTAAGCATTTTTTTTTTATTTTAATAACTCGTACTTAGGTGCGTTAGATAAGGTTAAGGTTACATTCCTCGATGTTCAGTGGAACGTAGGTATAATAATATGACAAAATGTCCTGCATGTGAATAATAAATAGTGGAGCTAAAAATTTTTATTAATAGAATTATT